GCGTTAGTCGCTTTACAACTTGTACAATTACTAAAGGTTTATCTGCTCCGCTACTCAGTCTGAGCTTCACGTACCTTGTCTATGATTCTGAAGAAAAATCGTCGAACACAGTTGTCGTGGCACCAAGACCAAGAAGGTAAAACGAACAATAACACACTCAAGTTAGCGGGTCGATCGGTAACAAAAACTCGGCCCTCATGGGCGATTTTCAGGAGTTGGCAGAATGACTAGCCGTTCAGTTCATGCCAGAATCAGTCAGAAAGGAACCTGTCGCGACGTTAGTTGTAAAACCCTATGAATTTTGTGCGGAAGACCGAACCCTACATGCTAGTTAACGACTAAAGGTTCCACGTTGTCTGGAGCTTAGCTTTCCTCACTTCATCCTTCCAAGATCTATGGCAGCTACGATCTGTTGTTGTCATCAAAAATGCTATCGACGCTGTGATGGCTTCTATCTCTGCTTTATAGTAGACTCTTTCTAAAGTTAGCTTGCCCATTACAGGCTGACAAAAACATCGACCGTAGCACAATTCCAGAAAAGTGATCTAGTGATCTACGCCGTTCTAATGATTTTAGCTTTTATACAGTGCCAAACTGTTCAGTTACCCAGTTATGATAACTAAGTCGATGGCTAGTGAACTTATTAGCTCCAAATCTGGCCAGATCTCTCGACATTCATCCTGCCGAAGTTGACAAATACTAATAACTATGTGGAAGAAAGCGCGGAAATGCACGACGTAGCGAACATCATGCTGTAGAGGATTCTTTAACAAATATGGCATTCCACGTAGCTGATGATCTCGTAGCGGAGGCTAGCCGTGCATTAGAAGCTTCAAGAAAAAGCGTGACTGTCATTCCAACTGTTGGAAACGTTCACGTCATTTCTCCCGATAGCCGATGTTGAGTAACTTTGTGAACGACTATGTTATAATTTTCAGTCAAGATCCAAGAATATACAGAATGTTCACAAAATAAGAGGAAACTCATCAGGGAATGCTAGAACTGCCTAACCTACATGCTGCGTGCGATCGATGGACGGCAGACGTCGTCCAAGAGATTTGTATGCATCATAGATGAACCTGACAAAGCCAGATCTGTGTTCAGAAAGAAATTGTTCCTTCTACGATACAGTAACCGATGCTTTACAACAAGAATGTTAATATGTATCACATGACAAATTGCAGAAATTGCAGACTTTTGACTAACGCAAGCTGTTCAAACTGGATCGCCTTTTGGCTCCAAACAATGCAGTAGCTTAAATCAACCCTGTCAAGCTTAAAGAAAGCCCGAGAGCCGAAACGAAGGTAGTGGTTCGTCGCCCGACTGACC